CTCAAGTTAACAATGAGACTGCATAATTATTTGTATTGAGTACTGTAGATGTTTAGCAATATTGTTTCAGATATTGACAAATATCTGCCAAGGAAAAATTATCTCTGTTGAGAACCAGTGGCCTCTGGTTGAAACATGGTGCATCCTGACAGAATTCTGACCAAAACCCTTTCCTTCCTCAGTCTCAGCCTTTAAACAAATCATTTAACTGCTTAAAACACATTCCTGCAATGGAAAATTGAGCTCACAATAATACTACTTCTTAGCATAAACTTTTCTAAAACTTAAATCAAGCAGTGCCTATAAGATGCTAATCTCAGGTTAAGTAGCATTAAAATGCATAAATGTGCTTTTTAATAATTAACAAATATTTTACAGTAAGGGACTAAGTATGAGCTCTTAACTTGTGATAAAGTGTGACATTCCTAAATTTGGGGGCAAATGTGTCAAGAATCCAAAGAATGTAGCATCCATAGAAAGTGTAAAAGTTAGTCACTCATTGTGTCCAACTATTTATGACCCAATGGGCCTTAGCCCACCTGGCTCCTCTGTCCAAGGAATTTTTCAGGCAAGAATACTGGAGTGGGTTACCACTTCCCAGGAGATCTTCCTGAACCAGGGATCGAACCCAGGTCTCCTGCATTGAAGGCAGATTCTTTACCATCTGAGCCACCAGGGAAGACAATTTTTTTGGCAGTTGTGTCAACAAGCCAAAGAATGTGACATCCATAACTATATATCAAAACAACATTGTCCTCTCTCTAGTTCAAGGAAAAAACAACAGTTTTCTGACAGTGAAGTTCTGTGTGCTCACCACAAATTAATCTTTTAAGGATCAAAGGGACTCCAACCTGAGAGTTCCTGTAGTCTCAGCCTTTGGAAAAATATTAAACCAAGGGTTAGGATAAGGTGGTGCAAGTTAGACCCCTGAAAAACAGACATGATTAAATTCAAAGAGTAATAAAGACTGGATTCACTTGACTTTGAACCTAGTCTCTTGGGAGCAGAGCATCATTAGGAGAATTTTTCTTTCATTTGATTCCAATGATACAGAGAGAAATCATGTACATAGAAGTAAAAATAATGAGAGGGAAAGGTATGTAATAAGCAGATATAGAAAGCTATTAATATTTCCCCTGCTGAGGTCACTTAGTGTTTGCATCTTTAAGCTGGACAGGACACGGAGTGGCTTTTGTAGTCATAAATCTGGATCAGGGGCCAGTGCTTTACTACACTCTGCTGTCTTGTCTGGTGACAGCTTCAGTCTTCATCATCAACCACCCAAGGAGTGACTCACATTCCACAAGAGACGTGCTTCTAAGAAACTCCACATAGGTAAGTCTGAGAGCACAGGAATTCCTTTAGGAAAGATTCAGAGAAAATGAAACCTGAGAAGTTTTACCTGAAATCAGCTAAGTGCCTGAACAGCCTAGTCCAGAGATGAAAGATAACTGTTTGTATTCTGGGTTAACTATTAATGTTTATTTGTTTATAAATTAGTGATTATAATAAGTAATTAGTAAGCAAACCAGTAGTTTGCTTATTTAATATAATAATAAGGATATGTCTGTTTGAGTCTACAATGCAAGTTGATAATTAAGTAATGGTAATAAATGTTCAGTTTGAGGACACTGTAAAAGAAGTGAAATAAATAATATGGCTCCATGAAAATGAAAACATATGTGAATTTTGCTCTTCAGAGGAACAGAAACATGTATTATGTGTGAGGGACTATGCAGAATATCAAGTATTTTTTAAATTTCTAATTTGGGGTGTACTTGAGCATGTTCTGTATTCAATTATTTTTTATTTTTCTTATTTTTATCCCAATTATTTTTTTTCATTTATTTTTTAGTTGGAGGCTAATTACTTTACAATATTGTAGTGGTTTTTGCCATACATTGACATGGATCAGCCATATATTTACATGTGTTCCCCATCCTGAACCCCCCTCCCACCTCCCTCCCCATCCCATCCCTCTGGGTCATCCCAGTGCACGAGCCCCGAGCACTTGTCTCATGCATCCAACCTGGACTGGCGATCTGTTTCACACTTGATAATATACATATTTCGATGTTGTTCTCACAGGTAATCCCACCCTCACCTTCTCCCATAGAGTCCAAAAGTCTGTTCTATACATCTGTGTCTCTTTTTCTGTCTGGCATATAGGATTATTGTTACCATCTTTCTAAATTCCATATATATGTGTTATTATACTGTATTGGTGTTTACTTTCTGGCTTCTTCACTATGTATAATGGGCTCCAGTTTTATCCATCTTATTAGAACTGATTCAAATATATTCTTTTTAATGACTGAGTAATAGTCCATTCTGTATATGTACCACAGCTTTCTTATCCATTTGTCTGCTGATGGGCATCTAGGTTGCTTCCATGTCCTGGCTATTATAAACAGTGCTGCAATGAACATTGGGGT